GGGAGGTTGTGGGAGGGTCAAGTGGGGATAGAAGGAGAGGGACGGAGAGAGAGGAGGACAGAGCGGGAGAGATGCAGAGGGGGAGGGTTTGGGGGTAGAGAGGGGGAGGGGGGGGGAGGGAGGGAGTGGCTGAGGGGGCTCGGGTCAAAGCGGCAGCCATAGTGCGCACGCGGGGACCGGGAGCGAGCGGTCAGGTGGATGGCATTAGCCCATAGGCTGGAGCAACCAACCCAACAGGACCATGGTGGGCTCTGATGTAAGCCCTGGTGGGGGGGCTCCTGAAAACTAAGCTAAACTATGACGTCAGCGGTTCCCCCACTCCGTCCCCATCCCTTCCCCCACACTCCCCTAACTGCACTCCCTGCCGCCTCGTGCTTAAGTACCTGGGTAGGTACGCCCAGGCTCCTCCCCGCGCTGTCCTGCCGCCGCTCCCCGACTGTTTGTGGGACACTGCTGTGTGCAATTGGATTGCCGTGTTTCGCCCACAAAATATACAATCAATTCACTTTATAATATATTCCGCAAAGCACTTTAAGAAGTCTTGAAGACGTAATAAGGCGCTATATCAATTGCAAAGATTATTATTATTATATCCTATCAAGTGCTTTGGAGGGTCCTCCCAATGTGAAATAATAATATGATAATGATAAACAGAAACAGAAGTCGCTGGGAACACTCAGTAGGTCAGGCAGCATCTATGGAGAGAGGAAAGTGAGTTAACCGTTCAGTCAATGACCTTTTGTCAGAACTCAAAAGGCTTTTTGTCTTTTGTTTTACATAATAATAGGAATCATTTGATATAGCGGCTTATCGCATCATTGAGATGTCGTTGAGAACAAGTGCTTCACAGAATATACTGTAAAGTGAATTGACTGTATATTTCGTAGGCAAATCGCGGCGGCCAAGTCGTGCACTGTCCCACAAACAGTCGTGGATTATTGATACATTTTCTTTAAAGGGATTATAATACCTGGAAAGCGATCCGCCAATCAACTAAAAGGCTAAACAGAGGCACGAGGAGTAAGGAAACTTGCTGATGGTTTTGCCCTGCACTGCCTGGGAATCGAACCCAGATCCTCTCACCTGCAGGACACGGTAGGACTCCCTTTCTTAAGGTACTGTATGAAATGGAATAATCCGACTGAGGAGGAATGGGGTTTGGTGCCGTCGAAGAGGTAGGTTGAACCAGCTAAATGCCAGCAAGCCTCTTGAGTGCATTCATCATGCATTCATTTCGAAGCCACGAAGGTTTTGTGTTGGAATGGCTGAGCGCCACCTCCGAACGCGGAGCAGATTTGGCCGGGAGTCTGGCACCAAGATAAGCAGCTGAAAATTCAAAGCAGGAGACAGCGGGTTGTGGGAAGCGGTGGCAGTGTCTCGCAATGTTCAAAAGGAAACAAATGCTTTGCTTTGTTCAGAGGAGGTGCTAATCACCTGTGGTGCCACAGTGTCTCATAGTGAGTCGGAGAGGCTGCCGCCAGCCGCAGCCAACACCTGGGGACCCTCCTAATGTTCTCCTGCTGTTCAGTGAGACGTGGCCAAAACTCCGGTGAGGCCAGTCTCTCTGAGAGAAGTAAAATCGACTTGTGTTTTTATGGCGGTGCATCTCATTGCGACGCCTTGGAACCCGTCGCAGTGATCACTCGAGAGTGTACAGTAATAATAATCCTTGCATTTGATAATCGCGCCTTATCACGTCTCTCTCCCCCCCCACCCCCACCACCCTCTCCTTTCTCCCTCCTTGACCCCCCAGCTCGGGTGTGAAATGCTGTACGCTGTCCAGCGCCTTGGGACGTCCTCCCGATGTGAAAGGCGCTATCCAAATGTGATCTTGTTGTCGTCGTTGTTTTCGAGACGTCTCAAAGCGCTTCACAGAATATACCGTAAAGTGAACTGACCGTATATTTTGTGGGTGAAACGCAGCAGTCAGTTGCGCACGGCAGGGTGCCAAGGTAACGTGGCTTGGTCATAGAATGTCAGAATTGTGCCCGTGGAAGCCTCTATAGTAATAATAATAATCCTTTTAAGTAGTACCGAGGATCCACTTGAACAGGTACAGACTCATTCTGTAACCCTACTTCGGTGAGCGAGAAGAAATGTATGAAACTGGCTCCCGAGGGGAGACGGTGGGAGCAGGAAGTGTCAACTAATTCAAAAACAAATGAGATAGATTAGGAAATTTCTGACGTGATATCATAAAGAGTTTGGGACGCAGCATGTCATGCGACTGCCAGGGTGACCGTGCTCTTTGACCGTGCCTTCAGCTCTCCTCTCGACTCTCTACCCCCTCCTCGCTCCCTCCCTTCCCTCCCCTCACCCTGACCATTTCCCCCCAATGCTCGGGTCCTGACCCAACTGTACAGCGCCTTGGGACGTCCTCCCGACGTGAAAGGCGCTCAATAAATGGAATCTTGTTGTGTTGTTGTTGGTGGTGGAAAGCAAACTGGATGGACCTCGTTCTTTTGCCTCGCAAATTCTCATATTCTTATATCTGCGTCATTCAAAGGATGGCACCGACAACACTGCAACTCACCCCCAGCACTGAATTGGAGTGTCAGTCCGGACCATGAACTCAAAGTCCTGTCCTGGGGTTTGGAACCCATAACCTTCTGACTCAAGAGATGAGAATCAAGGTGTAGTCCAGCACCGTACATTAGGTGACAGGGTCAGTCTGGGTGGCGGAAGCAACTCCTTTATATTTTGGGGAGGAGAGGCTAACGCTACCTGACAATGATCCTACTGTGACTTTTTTAGTGTCCTCTGGTCATTAGACCACTGCGCCCCCCAGTGGCAAGTTACTGGCCCTAACTTTAGTTTATATATAAACTGCTTATTTTTGTACTAGAATAATAATCCTTGGATTTCCTGCGATACAAATTTACATTTATACAGCGCCTTTTACGTCGGGAGGACATCCCAAGGCACTTAACATGGTTTGCACGCAAGTTCGGGGGCGGGGGCCGAGAGATAGCCAATAATAATAATAATAATCCTTGCATTTGATATAGCGCTTTTCACGTCGGGAGGACGTCCCAAAGCGCTTCACAGAACACACTGTAAAGTGAATTGACTGTATATTTGTGGCGAACGCGGCAGCCAATTGCGCACAGCAATGTCCCACAAACAGTCGTAGATTGAAAATGACCAATTTATTATTGTTTTTGGTTTTGGAGTGATTATTATTAGGCTCTGTGTGGAGTAAGGAAACTTGCCCAAGGTTTCGCCCTCTGCCTAGGATTGAACTTAGATCTCTCACTTGCAAAGCGAGTGCTCTAACCACTGAGCTACAGGACTCCAAAAGCTCGTTCAAAGAGCACACGTTGATGACATTTTTCTGTAAAGTGCAATAAATGTGCAGGAAGACGCAATAGTCAATTCATACAGACATAAGAGGCACTGTTGGCCATGGCATAAGTAGTAGGATGTTTAACATCCACCTGAACAGGCAGATGGGGCTCGATGTAATGTCTCCGAAGGATGGGGCATCCAATAATGTTGCACACCCCCAGCACTGCACTGCAGCATCAGCCTAAGCAGTCAATTCAAAGTCCTTAAGTGGGGCTTGAACCCACAACCATTTGATTCAGAAGCGAGTGCTACCGACTGACCCACACATTTCATTCTTACATCCCAGCGCTTGTCAGTCATCAAATTCCTTGCTGAGGCCCAAGTGTTTTATAATCATCACGGCAATCCTGGCCAAGTGCAGTATAGCCTGTCTATATAGTGATAGACACTGGGAGAGGCTGTGTATACAGGAGAGACACTGGGAGAGGCTGTGTATACAGGAGACACACTGGGAGAGGCTGTGTATACAGGAGACACACTGGGAGAGGCTGTATGTATACAGGACACTGGGAGAGGCTGTGTATACAGGACACTTGGAGAGGCTGTGTGTATACAGTGGGAGACACTGGGAGAGGCTCTGTGTATACAGGAGAGACACTGGGAGAGGCTGTGTGTATACAGTGGGAGACACTGGGAGAGGCTCTGTGTATACAGGAGAGACACTGGGAGAGGCTGTGTGTATAGAGGACACTGGGAGAGGCTCTGTGTATACAGGAGAGACACTGGGAGAGGCTCTGTGTATACAGGAGAGACACTGGGAGAGGCTGTGTGTATAGACACTGGGAGAGGCTGTGTATACAGGAGACACACTGGGAGAGGCTGTGTGTATACAGGACACTGGGAGAGGCTGTGTATACAGTGGGAGACACTGGGAGAGGCTCTGTGTATACAGGAGAGACACTGGGAGAGGCTGTGTGTATACAGTGGGAGACACTGGGAGAGGCTCTGTGTATACAGGAGAGACACTGGGAGAGGCTGTGTGTATAGAGGATACAATGGGAGAAATTGGGAGAGGCTCTGTGTATGCAGGAAAGGCTGTGTGTACAGGAGGCTGTGTATATATATGCTTGATAATAATCCCTCAAGATAAAAACAATAATAATGGTCACTCAATCCACGACTATTTGTGGGATGCTGTTCTGTGCAATTGGCTGCCTCGTTTCATCCACAGATATACAATCAATTCACTTTACAGTCTATTCTGTGAAGCGCTTTGAGACATCTCGAAGACGTGACAAGTGCTATATCAAATGCAAGGATTATTATTATTTTACCCTGAACCTCAAATTAATAATAATCCTTGGATTTCATATAATGGAGTATCATATCGTTAAGACGTCTCAAAGCTCTTCACAGAATATATTGTAAAATGAGGAGGAGTATTTCGTGGGCGAAAATTGGCAGCCAATTGCTCACAGCAGTGTCCCACAAACAGTCGTTGATTGAGTGAAGGCTTTTTTTTCAAAGGGATTAATTATTACCCCGGAAAGCGATCCGCCAATGGGAAACTTGCCTAAGGTTTCGTCCGGGATGTTGCTTGTGAAGCTACACTACAGGACTGCCATGAATTAACAGGCTTCGATGGATATAAATGTAAATTGTCACTGGTGATCAAAGAGACACACATACACACTCATAAACCCAGTAGGAGCCTCTATTAGGAAGAGTTTAATCAAAAGGTTGAGAGACTCATACAGGTTGTTGAAACCTTTGCAGGAATCAGCTCGTTACAGAATTGCGCACAAATAACGCAGAGTAAAGTGCAACCAGAGGGGGTCAGGAAACAACAGCGGACATTGGAGATCCGAGCAGGTCAGTCTCTCAAAGTACCTGATAGAGGGAGGGTGGCCATCTACAGGGGATGGGTGGGTGGGGGTATGTGTGTGTGTGGTCTCGATCAGTTCTGAGACTGACCTGCAGGGAGCGACGCAGAGACAAAGCAGCAAGAGTTCATAAATCTGTATCAATCTGAAAGCCATTAATAAATAAAATCTATTTCCTTCTTTATGTATTTAAACATTGCTGATATAATTGCACAGCAGAGATATCCAAGGTGGTTGTTTGTGCGGAGGGGGAGGGGGAGTCCCGTTGGTCAGTCGGTCTTTTTGTCCGGGATTCCAGGTGGTCCCTCTGTGGGAATGCAGGACTCCGCTCCTCCCGTTCCATTCGCCATCAGGCCGTTCGCTTCTCCGCATTTGTCCGGAATTTCAGACTGAAGAGAGAGACGCGCGGTGTTAGGGGAAGTGCGTCCAGACTGACTGGAGGCAATCAAACACTGCCTACTCCGTGTCCCCCGCCAGCCAGCCTGGTAAGCCATCTTCCTAGCCCTCATTTGCTCTTCCGCGCACCCTCACTCCCAACCGAGCCCGACCCCGAACAAGAAGAGAAGCCACATGGGAGGGGGTGGGAAGGTCATGTCTTTGTGTTCAGGTGCCCTGAGGAAGCAGTGAATCAAATTTGGGCGGGGGGGGGGGGGGGGAACGAGGGAAATTTGTGAACTTCAGTTACTTCCTCGGATGAACCCACTCTACTCATCTTTAGGAGAGATAAGCAAGTCATCATGTAGTGGTGGTGGAGATAGGGGGAAGAGAGAAGGAGATCGGGGGGCAATCATCTACACCCACATCTCTACGTATGTCGCTTCCCATTCTTTGCAGTCGGTGGGGGGGGGCATGTGGGCAGAGGAGGGAGAGAGAGATCGGCCAATGAAACATTTTAACTAAGCTCAGGAGCTAACCCTGGAGCTCAAACATGTGGTGGGATCAGTGAGAGATACAGAGAGAGGGAAGGGAGGAAGTTTTCAAGTAGGACGGTGTGAAGAAACCACTGCGGACACTAGTTTGTTTCCTTTATTTAGAGCAGATGTCCGTCAGAAAGTTGATTCAGTAATTAAAGCAGTTGTTAACTATCTGATTTTGGAGCCTAGGTCTAGCGTTCTGACGGCTCTGATCTCATACTCTGCTCTACACGCCCTGGGTCTGCGCTTCCTCCTCTCCTGTCAACAACCACAACACAAGTCACTTCACAGCAGAGCTGGCAACAAGGGGGGAGGGGGAAAGAGAGAGGGGGGGGAAGAGAGAGAAACCCAGAGGCTAATGTGGGGAAAGGGGAGAAAGAGAGAGAGAGAGAGAGGGGGGGGGGCGTCAGGGTGGAAGAGACAAAAGGGGAGAAAGGGGCGTGAGGGGGAAAGGAGCAAGATGGAACTGGAGACGGAGAGAGAGAGAAACGGGAAAGAGAGGGAGGTGTGTGGGGGGAGAGAGAGAGAAAAAGGGGAGAGAGTGTGTGTGTGTGTGTGTGTGTGGGGTGGGTGTGGGTGGGGGGAGAGTGAGTAATATGGGGAGTAGGGGCAGGCCAACCCCAAACTGGGTGGCTTCAGGACACAAAACTCTGAGTTTGCAGTCTTTTTACTGACAGGACCCAACCCAGGTCAACAATCTCTGAAAACTACAAAGAAAAGCGAGGAGGTGAAATGAGAGGGGCTTTGTGGGGACCTCAGAATAAAGTGATCCCGATTATAACTGCGGCTTGCTTACCAAAATGGGGCTTGTAACTGCAGCCTGCTTACCTTTAATGTCCCATTGAGTTCTGCTGTCTTGGCTGTGCCCCCCTTGCTCAATGCTCTCTCCGCTCGATTTGGCCAAATGCGGGCGATAATGGGAGAGATAAAGGGATACAAGATGGGCTCTAGGAATCTCTTGTAGACCCAGAGGAGGACTGGAATGACTATGCAGGGAATGCAGACCATTGCTGGGAATCAATGGGGAAAAAATTATTACCGCAGATAATAAAAAATATCCTTACATTTGATGTACACGCATGAACATAATAATAATAATAATAATCCTTGCATTTGATATAGAGCTTTTCACGTCGGGAGGACGTCCCAAAGCGCTTCACAGAACACACTGTAAAGTGAATTGACTGTATATTTGTGGGCGAACGCGGCAGCCAATTGCGCACAGCAATGTCCCACAAACAGTCGTAGATTGAAAATGACCAATTTATTATTGGTTTTGGTTTGGAGGGATTATATTAGGCGTGTGGAGTAAGGAAACTTGCCCGAGGTTTCGCCCTCTGCCTGGAATTGAACTCAGGTCTCTCACTTGCAAAGCGAGTGCTCTAACCACTGAGCTACAGGACTCCACAAAACATCACACTAAATATAATAATAAACCTAGCATTTGATATAGCGTCAGGACACAGCAGAGATATTCCCTCTCTAGCGCCACAGCCTCTTTAACACCCACTTGAACAGGCAGATGGGACCGCGGTTTAATGGCTCATCCAAAAAAAACAGAGTTGTAGTAAATCCACGTAACCGTGTTTAACGCAACTTAAGTCGTTCATATCAGGAGGATGTCGCTAAGCACTTCACCTGATATACTTGTGTAGTGACTGACCAAACCGAGAATTCCATGCATCCCACCTACACATGTTTGCTGGAATGGAATGCAAACTCTCTCCCGGGAGGGACCCATTCTAGAGACTAATAGATACAGGTTGGCAAGTGCCAAGGCTTGGGGACCACAGAGTGTCCGTTGGTAACTGCTAGAATCTAACCAGCTAAAACCATATAGCTTGCCATTGATGTCATGCCTGGCAAGCTTTCCCGCTACTTGTCCAGCTAGAACCATCCCGCCTGTTAGTGCTTTGGCTTTCAGGGTTAACAGGAGCTGAAGGGAGATCGTTCCAAGGTGCTGGACAGTCAAGGATTTTGAACCAAACTGGAGCTTGGGATCAGGAGGGATTAGAAGGCAGGAAGGGTGGGAGTAGGACGGTGACCAAAGGCATGATCGAACAGGAAGGTCTTGAGACCCGCCTTGAAGGAGGCAAGAGAGGAGGTGAGGTGAAGGGACTGTGGGATGGAGTTCCAGAAGATGTGGGCAGAGGAGCTGCAGGCTTGACCATGATGGTGGGACTGGCAAGGCGAGGGTCATGGAGAGGGCCAGAGCCTGCCAAGCAGGGAGCAGAATCTGCATGGTTCGCTGGTCACAGAGGTAGGGAGGACCTTGTAGGCGAGGACGAGGATTTTGAACTCGACCCTCTGGGTGATGGGGAGCCAGTGGAGCCGGGCGAGGATGGAGGTGATAGATTCACGGAGCCTGGTGCGCGAGAGGACACGAGCGGCAGAGTTCTGAATGGAAAATCCCTTCTGATTTTGAATAGTTCTGCAGGATCTTCAATATCCACCTGAACAGGTACAGTTGGGCCATGGTCTCTTCTGAAGGACGGCACCTCCAAAAATGCACTGGAGCATCAGCCTCGACTGTGAATTCCGACGTGGGGGCTTGAACCCTCAGTATTCTGACTCATGGCTTACACATAAATAACAAAGTCCATGAGGGTGTAGAGTAAAAGAATGTGTAACATGAGCCTCGTCAAAATGCCTCCTGCAGGCAGGACCACGTTTTATTTACCACAGCACCTCCGACAATGCAGCTCCCCCGGCACTAACCAGGGAAGTCAGCCTGGATTGTGAGCTCCAGGTCCCTCCCTGGCGTCTCAACCTACTGACATCGGAGGCCAGAATGCTACCAACTGAGCCAGGCTGACCCACTGACCTGTACTATGTCCTACCTCAGCTTGGCTCAGTGATAGCACTCTCACCACTGAGTCAGAAGGCTGTGGGTTCAAACCCCACGTTAGGACGTAGAATCTCAGTTGAGGCTGACACTTCCAACACAATGCTTTGGGTGTGTTGCACTGTCGTAGGTGCCTTCCTTCGTTAGATTGAGGCCCCGTCTGTCTGTTCATCTGAACGTTAAAGATCCCATGGCACTATTCGAAAAGAGAAGGTAGTCCTCTCTCCTGGTGTCTAGGCCAGCAAATCCCAAATAAAATTGGTCACTCACTCCATGGCTGTTCGGACATTGCTGTGTAAAACTTGCTGCCACGTTTCGTTCACCACTCAACAAACCTGTGAAATGCTTTGAGACATCTCAACAACGTGATAAGACGCTACACAGAGTCATACAACGCACAGGGAGGCCATTCGGCCCATTGCGCCCGTGCCGGCTCTTTGAAAGAGCTAAACAAATTAATCCCACTCCCTCGCGCTCTCCCCATAGCCCTGCAAATTTGTCCTCCCCAAACATCTATCCACTTCTCTCTTGAAAGTTGTTATTAAATCGGCTTCCACATCCTTTCAGGCAATGCTTTTTCAGATCCGAACAACCCACAGTTTGGAAAAATGTCTCCTCCCCTCTGGCTCCTTTGGCAACTATTATAAATCGGTGTCCTTGGGTTACCGACCCACCCGCCAGTGGAAACAGTTCCTCCCTGTTCACTTTATCAAATCCCATCATAAATTTGAACACCTCTAAATTTGAACACCTTAAATTTCTCTTTTCCAAGGAACATAATCCTCGCTTTTCTAGTCTCGCCACATAACTGAAGTCCCTCATTCCTGGTACCATTCTGGTCAATCTCCTTTGCATTGCACCCTCTCCAATGCCTTGACATCCTTCCTAAAGTGTGGGGCCCAGACCTGAACCCAGTCTCTCGCTGAGACCTGACTGACGTTTTGTAAAGGTTCATCATAACCTCTTTACTTTTGTATTCTATTTTAAAGCCAAGGTTCCCGTACGCTTTTTTTTTTTTGACAGCTTTATCTACCCCGGGACGTCCTACCGGCGTGAAAGGCGCTATACCAATGTAACTTTGTGTTGTACCTGTCCTGCCACCTTCAAAGATTTCCGTATAATCGAAGGAAAAAGATTATCGTTACTACTAAATGCGGCGACTGCAGATGTCACACAGGTGCGTATCAGACACAGGGGATCCACGAGCGAAGTTCCTGTTGGCCTTGGCCTTGGCCCAACGCCGCCGGGGACTCGCTGAGCGGGAGATGTCCCTCCGAGGATCACAGGAACAGGAGTCGGCCATTCAGCCCTTCGAGCCTGTTCCGCCGTTCCACCAGATCGCGGCTGAGAGGGCGCGGATTGCTTTCCGGAACCCACCCGTCCGATTTCGAGGCACTTCGCGGGTTGGGGGCCATGTGAGGCCCACACCCCCCACCCCCACCACCACCCCAAAAAATAATAATAATAATAAGGCGAGGGGTCAAAGTATTGGTGTTAAGTGTGTGCTTAAAGAGCTTTGAGGCGTCGAGAAGACGTGATAGGGCCACTGTATCACACGCAAGGATTATAATCATTATTATTATTATTATTATTGTCGTCGTGTCGCCCACAGCGCCCCCCGGCGGAGGCCGCGGGCAGTGCCCCACAGCGCCCCCCTGGCGGAGGCCGCGGGCAGTGCCCCACAGCGCCCCCCTGGCGGAGGCCGCGGGCAGTGCCCCACAGCGCCCTCTGGCGGAGGCCGCGGGCAGTGCCCCATAGCGCCCTCTGTCGGAGGCCGCGGGCAGTGCCCCACAGCGCCCCCCTGGCGGAGGCCGCGGGCAGTGCCCCACAGCGCCCCCCTGGCGGAGGCCGCGGGCAGTGCCCCACAGCGCCCTCTGGCGGTGGCCCCCCCTATGGCGATGCTCAGGTCGAGTTCAGCGGCTGCGGGTGAGACCCCGAACTGTCAACAAACCGCGGAGAATAGACAGAGAGAGAAAGAAGAGAGAGAGAGAGACGGAGAGCGAGAGGGGGAATCGCTGCGGTGGGTGAGGTGAGACCCCCCCCCCCCCCGCCCCCCCCCCGGGAAACCAGGCCCCGGAACTCACCGCTGATGTATCGCTGATGTACCTCCAGCGCCGACTGTCGGACGCGGTGTCTCCCCTCAGCTTCCGCTTCGCTTCGCGTCCGGGTCAGGACCGGAAGAGGGGAGGTGGAGCCAGGCGCGAGGGGGGGCGGGGCGACCTTGTTATGCTCCTTGTTGATTGGCTGCCAGCTCCCCCGGGCGCTCTCCCGATTGGCCGTACGGTTACTGCGGGGCGGACCCGGGACCTGGCCTCGCCCCGCTCCCCATTGGCTGCTCATCCCCGCCTATTGTGACGTCACAGAGGGGGGCGGGGCTCAGCGGCCGGTGCGCGAGGGGGGGTGTGGGGGGAGGAGCAACGACAACAACAACAGTGAGACAGAGAGTGTGAGAGAGGATTAGAGAACAACAACAACAACATTACACGTGTAAAGCGCCTTTCGGGTCCGGAGGGAGTCCCGAGGCGCTGATCAGACATTTCGGACCCGAGACGGGGGAGGGCGGGGGGGCAGCAGGGAGATCGCAAGAGGAGGTCGAAGACGAGGGTCTTGAAGGTGGTGAGGGACGGGGCGAGGTGGAGGGACTGCGGGATGGAGTTCCAGAGGGTGGGAGCGGAGTGCTGGAAGGCCCGCCCGCCATTGGTGGGGTGAGCGAAGCGGGGGGACGTGAAGCAGAGCGGAGGGAGCGAGCAGGATGGTAGGGGGTTAGGAGGTCCGAGAGGTAGTGGGGAGCAAGACCATGGAGGGCTGAAGGTGAGGACCAGGATCTTGAACTGTATCCTCCTGGCGATGGGAGTTGGGTTTTTTGTATAGTTGAGACTATACAGACTTTTCCTCCCTTATCTCTCCCTCCACATCCGCGGTCACCCCCTCGATCTGGTGATCACTCGGGGTCTCACCGTCTCGGTCCTCACCATCATCGACAAAGCGATCTCGGACCATCATTTTCATCTCCCTGAACTCTTCAACCGCCACCCAGCTCCCTCTCCTCCACTCTCGTTTCCCTCAATCCACTCTCTTCCCGAACCGTCTACTACTCACGCAAATCACCAGCCACCTCCGCTCCCTTGAAGCCCAGCCGCGTTCCGCCGAGCGCACCTGGCTTAAATCAAACGTGTCCACCGGCAGATCTGACTGGATCATGTCAAATCCTACCGCTCCGCCCTCGCCTCCACTAAATCGTCGTTCTACTCCCAAGAAATTCTTGGAGGCTAAGGATAACCCCAGGTTCCTCTTCTCCCATCACAAACCGACTCCCCCACCCACCCTCTCATGGGCCACCCATCCTCACCTCAAATCCCAACTGCGAGGGCGATGCTGGACTTCTTCGAATCCAGTCAAGGGAATCTGCTCAGTTGCCTCTTCCATTGCATCTGTAGCCCCTCCCCATATTCTCCTCCCACCCCTCCCTTCGTTGAACCTGCCTCCCTCTCCTCTCACCACCACAACCCATATGAAACCCCACCCGCTCCTTCAACCCCATCCCTACCTCCCAGCTGCACCTCCTTGCCCCTCTACTCTCTGACATTGTTAACCTCTCGCTGTCCTCTGGTACTGTTCCCACCCTTTTTAAAACCGCTGTCATCACTCCTATTCTTAAAAAAAACCTGGACCCTTCTCTACTCCTTCAAAGCCCTCCACAGTCTTGCGCTCCCCTACCACCCCATTCGCTCCCTCTGCTCAGTGGGCTCCGGCCTGCTTCACTCCCCAGCTTGCCTTCCTTCCATTACTATACACCCACCCTCTGGAACTCCATCCCACAGTCCCTCCATCTCACCCCCTCCCTCTCCCCCTTCAAGACCCATCTCAACCGTGTTCAACCTCCCTGCTTGCCCCCCTGCCCGCCACCCTCTCCCACCCCAACCCTCAGCTTGGGTCAGTAACTCTGTCCGTCCAGCGCCGGATGTCCTAAGTGAAAGGCGCCATACAAATGTAATTTTGCTGTTGTTGCTGGGAAGCAATGGTGGCGATAATTTGAGAACAGGCACATGGGACCCCTTGTAGCTGAACTGCCGCCAAGGTGATACACCGGTGCTATATAAATCCAAGTTTTTCTTGACATGTTTAGCAATGGAATGTCAGAATCAAGCCATTCCTGTGACAGTCTGTAGTCAGATGGGTCCGCAGTATGTATAGAGGTTNCCCCCCAACATGGAAGGTTCTATACAAATGTAATTTTTTGTTATGAAGCTTTTTTATAATGTGCTCATGTGACAGGTATATTGGCATCAACTGTATTGCTCTTTCTTTCCAAAGTCCCGGAACATGTCATTGTTGCTATCCAACTATACGACATACTCTCCTTTGCACCACCACTGTTGGCAATGGAATGTCAAATTCAAGCCATCCCTCTGTGACGGTGTCTAGTCCAGTTCCTGAGCCAGGCGGGTCCTCAGTATTCCAGGGCAGTTCACTCCAGAACCGCTGGAACTTACTGCCTCAATAACCCCCTTTTTAAATCCCACCTTTATTGGGCTGCGCCTATGGTCACTCCACCCCTTCCTTCCTTGGTTTGCAAATCTTTGTAATATGAACCACTAGGCATCTCTGTCCTTCCATTTATTGTGCACTTCCTCTCGCACTTATCTGCATTAAATTTAAAATCTAGAGGACGGGAAAAGCGCTATAACAAATGTAAGGATCATTATTATTAAAACTATTAAAAAAAACAGACACTGTGTTAGTTTCTAAAAGCTTTCTTTTCAAACTTTATATACAGGAGCAACTGTCGAGTTTAATCCCGAGCCATGAGTTTCTGCTTCTTCAGCTTCTTTTGGGAAACCTGGAAACAAAATAAAAGAAAGTTACTCCACATGGAGCAGATAGAGGGCAATCTTCCAACACTGACTGCAAGATATTTCCACATGTCAGAGAGCGTCTCTCAATCTGTGAACAGTTAACCAGCATTGTAGACATTGTTATTCCAAGTTTTGAAATGTTTCTACAACGCAAACTACATTTATATAGCGCCTTTCACGTCAGGACATCCCAAAGCACTGGATAGTCAGGATTTGCACCTGAGCTGAGGTTTAGGATCAGGAGGGTAAGGAGTAGGAGGGTGACAGAAAGCATGGTCGAAGAGGAGGATCTTGAGATGAGACTTGAAGGGGGCGAAGTGAATGGGTTGGATTTCCAAAGGATGGAAACAGAGAGGCTGAAGACCTGAAGAACATGATTTCACTTAGAGCATCGCTCAAAGTCTGGCCGCAGCTTTTACATTTAACACGTCCCGCAAATCGTGGACTTGGCGCTGCGTGAGGAACTCTTATGCCTGGTTTGTTTCAGTTTGATTACCATAAGCAGAAAAATGAAAGATCTAAGGTCTTTAATGTGATTGTCTCACTCAGCTAAGTCTCTACATATTCATCAGTCTGCAGGAAAGCTGCTGTGGCAGTGCACAAGCCAATAAACAAGCTAATAGTTGCCAGGTGTAGAAAGTTACCATTGGTCTCAGCCAGCAGGACACAATGCACACCCCTCTCCCACAACCAGATGTATTGGCAGGGGTAGAAAGGAGAGGACGGCTGTCAACACTCAAGATTGTCCTTTCTGCAATGGCCAGCACAGACACTACGAGTTCCAGTGAACGTTTGTGAGAATAATTACTACTGTCCACTAGTTGAAGTGGAATCTGGATACACATCCATGTCCTATTTAGTGGTGGCAGATAGTGTGGAGTGAGGGGGGACAGGGAAGAAAAGGATATATCTAAATATCCAAGTGTTTTAAACTTTGAATCGTCGCAAAAAATAGCAGTTGAGTTGAAGGCACTCAGACACACTGAATTGTCATGGCTAATCCAAAGCTTTCTCTGTGATATCCAATACTGTAACTGAACTTTCAATATCAACACCAATCGCCGTGAGAAAGAAAAGACGCATGTAAAAGCCATATAGGACGAGCAAATAACCAAATGAAGCAGCTACAACTCTGGTGAACTTAAAGCCAATAAACTCTGGTAAACAATTACATTCCACCCATGCCTTGGGCAACTTAACTGAGTGCAAAACGCGTCTGGAAAAGTTCTGGGTCTACAAAGTCTGTGACCCTGTTAAGGAAATAGACAAGTACCATATGGGTAAAAAAAATCTCCAGGATGTCAAGTGTGGCATGAACCATCTCCAAAATTGAGGAATCTGTCAAAGAGTCACCGAGTTCATTTTTTCCACTGTAATATTGGTACCAAACCTGTGAGGCTCAAGTGTAATGTCCTTAGCCCTCCAAACAAGTGGGCCAGAATGTAGCAGCTCAGACTAAGTTCATCTTGGTTGTTTTCATTATTAATCGAAAGGTGTCCTAAGATGGTCATCATTGCAGCTACAGTTGACACCAAAAATCTGGACTATCAGCAGTGTTAATCAGCATTCAATACACTGTAAAGTGAACAACTATGGGTGAAATGTAATATCTGTGCAAAATTTTCTTTGAATTCAACCGAGGCTGCTCCAAAGATAGGCAACTAGATAGAAAATCTGCCCACAATTCAATTACCTTTTTCTTCTGAACAACTTCCTCCTCTGGTTTGGGGACAATCTGCTCCTTCTCAGTGAGGATCATCTCAATGTGGCAGGGGGAGCTCATGTAGGGATTGATACGACCGTGAGCTCGGTAAGTACGTCTGCGCATCTTGGGTGCCTTGTTCACTTGAATGTGCTCAATCACCAGGGAATCCACATCCAGACCCTGAAAACAGGGAAACATTCACCAGGTAAAGCACATCTCCTTATAGAATAGAATTCACAACACCCATACCCACCACCATACCCAACTGGGCTTAGAACTATTAAAGCGTAACTCAAGATGGACTGCGATTGAAGGGGGGTGAATTCAAAACAAATCTGTGGCAACACTACTTCAGAGAGCGATGTAAATGTATGGAACAAGCTTCCTAGTGAGACGGTGGAAGCAGAAAGTGTTGATTCTTTCAAAAATGAGCTAATCCTTCATGTAGTGCCTTATCACGTCTTTGAGATATCTCAAAGCACTTCACAGAATATACTGTAAAGTGAATTGTATATTTTCTTGGCGAAATGCAGTAGGCAATTGCACACAGCAAGATAAATTTCTGTTTATCTCAGCATTGGGGATAGAGTTATATAGTTTGGGACGACATGCATTTTCAATGGATCTTGGAAAGCGAATTGGGCGGGCGTTGGTCTTCTTTCATCTAGCAATTCTTATGTTCTCAGGCCAGCAAAGGCAGTACAATGTTTTTCCTACTATTACCTCACCATGTGAGATTCAAGCCTTTGCTCCAATCCTAAGCAGATGATTAAATGGAATAGATTTCAAGTCAGGCTCCAGTAGTCAAAGAAAACGTGTGTTAACTGAATATACAGCAGATTAAAAAAAACGACCCACACGGCCTGTCAACCTTTTTAAGCATTATAAAATAAGTAACACATGCAAAAAATTATGAGTGTTTTAAGTGGATTGAACTGGTTCCAGTAGGGAGGAGTGTGTTGAAAATGCATTCAGTTTAATTTTCCACTGTAACCCAATTCTTCTCAAGAAGATCCCAACAAGGGTGATTTGCAATTAGCAAGAAATCATGCAATTACGAAGGCTATAAAATACAGTGTGGCTCATGATCAAGCACACTTCTGTGAGGTGCACAAAGAGTACAACACTCTCACAGCCATCTAAACCAAACACATAAAATATAAATACCGTCCAAGCTAGAAGAGATAATTGTGGTCACATGAACCTTGGGAGAAAAGATGCTAAAATGGCATCCATCACTCATACCCATGCCATTTACCATGAAAAGAGCGTACTGGATATTTACTTGAAGTGGGTAGCTTTCAAAGAGCTGGCAGAGATACAGTGGGTCAATTAGCCTCCTGTGCTGTAGGATTCTATACGGGTGTTCTCTCTCTTCAAACTATAGAATATATACTCTGATTCTCCTCAACTACACAGTGCGCATTAATTTAATTTACAAAAAACAAAGTGAACATTCTGCATTCTGATTGCCTGAAACTTCTAATTCAACCCCCAAAGAGCTGCTCGGCTGCACACTGGGCCATCTTACATGTGGTTACTCAGACAAAATATCTTCCTTTCACGGTTAATCCAAAGGTGTCCTAAGATGGTCATCATTGTAACCACAATATGTTGGTCAGCACAACTATCTACAACAGGTACCTTCTACAATGATGTTCAGATCTGAATCCTTATCAATGCAATATCTCACTCATTAGGGAAAGCAGATAAAAGACTAGCCAAAGGCTATTCGGTATAGTTTCTCTGATTCAATTCCGGCAGTCAGAGTAGATACTAGCTGTCAAGACTTTTACACATTCCTTAGGCCAGGGTGGTCCATCTGGCGGCCCATGGGCCACAACCGGCCCATAGGCTGATTTCACCCCCTCCTCCACTTCATCTGGCCTACCCTTCCCTCCATAACTTGCAGCCAAAAGGTTGGACCACCCTGGCTTAGATAATCATAAGCTTACCTTGAGTTCTGCGTTGCTCTCTGCATTCTTCAACATGTGCAGCAGGAACTCCGCGCTCTTCTTAGGCCATCGCCCCTGTGTCCAGTTCCAGGCCTTAGCCTTCACAACAACAACAACAACATGTAAATTTCCTCATTGATTTACGCCCAAGCAAACAATATAAAAACGCCTGTCTTCACACATGTGGCTTAAACGCACTTTGGCACATTCAGCAAAACACCCCAGGCTGGCTGAGAGAAAACATTAAATTTGCAGCCAGGAACAGCAAGTAGAGTCTCTCATTTGGTTAAAAGCCTTTAACCAGACGACTAGAATTAAAAATATGGGAAATTAGACAAATAAAAATTTAAAGTAGATTCCGCAAGATGAATCTACTTTGGCAACACTTGCTGTCTCCTTGCTGCAAATTTGTTTCCACAAGATGTTCCTCTGGCAAGCGTTCCAATTAGAAGCGGCTTTACATGCAGAGGACCATAGCGGTCAGATATGGAAACAGACCAGACATTTCTCTCATTTACCAGTGGTTTGGAGAAAGTTCTGTGAAATCAAGACTGTAGCAGCTCAGATTTAAAAAACTATTTGTTTTCATGATTAATCCAAAGGTGTCCTAAGATTGTCATCATTGCAGCTACAGTTTTCAGTTCACATCTATGAAACAATTTCAATGCTACTTAAATAAATTGCTAAGTAGTAGAAACATTTAGCAATCAAAAGCAACTGCTCCTTATATAAGAGAGCTCAGATTGCCTTTCTTTACTGCTGAAGGTTACTGGGCACTGTCGCCTACGCACACACAACTCACTTGAGCACACCTGCCAACTCCACCGTTGTAGCGTCGGAAGGGAACACACTGCCTCTGGATGACGACATCCTTGAGGAATTTGGTCGCTTTGCGGATGTGCATCCCCTTGATGGTCTGGGCAGTCTCACGAGTGTTCTAGAGAAACAAAACCGTTGCGGTCACAATCTCACGATGAGACAAGTCAAGCCCTGTCATATGCTCTCCAATGCTAAGCAATCCTGACAGAACCACCATTAGGTAACAGGAGACTCACAAAATATGGCCTGGAGAACTCAGGGATATGAGCATGTCTACACAGATAAAATACAGATTCTCATGACTATTCCAAACACGATGTTCTCAAATTCTGAAGAGTAATTCTATATTCTGGATTCTTCCATCAAATATACGTAAACTTGACTAAGAGCATTCTCCCCCTCTCCAACAGGTGCCGTAGTAAAGTCCCAATGAAAGCTCCAGTTATTTCAAGTATCACCTCAACAAGGAGCGGTGTATTTAGTAACATGTGGGGGGGGGGGGAATAGCAAAGTGCAAACATTTTTGCAAAAAAAGCGGAACACTCTGCAGATCTTACGGGTAATTGCGGGGACTGGTTGGTGTTATTGAGGTACATTTTACTGCTGCACGTTTGTATGTTATTGATAAAAACTAAACTTAAGGAAATAACACGTTAATATAGTTGCAAAAAAAATTGATTGCTTCTTTAACAAAAACTGGGTGGCCATTTTGGGGTGGGGGTGGCACCAGCAAGGGTACAGGTGCTTACCACCCCCTGCCTCTCACTACACACAGGCACAGAGACCCAGCAAGAGACACACACTCAAGAGACACAGATTCACAGAGAGACATACACTCAAGACAAGAAACACGTACACACGTAGAAGACATAGACACACTCACATAGACACACACTCACAGACAATCACAACAACGGAGCCTCCGAGTGAAGCCCATTTTCTTCTCGAGCTGCAAACCACATGCGGAGCCGCTCAGGCAGTGAATTCAGGTAAACAATGCGAGCGGCCAGTGGGTCAGAAACTACATTTATGGTGATTTTTAGAAGATGATGGGTGTGGCTGCACTTTTCTATTGGTTCAGTCCATGGGGAAGTAGCATCAGTCCAGTATGGATACAGATTGGTGCCCAGGGGCTATTCTGCCCAGGTAAATAACCTAAGGCTTTGCAACGGTTGTAGGCTATTCAGCCCCTTGAACCTGCTGTGTTATTCTAGACTCTTACCTACCAAATATCTAGCCATCTCAGTCTTGAAAACTGACTGCGTATGTGAATGTTCAATTAAAACAACAAATTACATTTGCACTACACCTCTTGGGTCAGGGGATGTCCCAAGGTGCTGTTAATAATAATTCTTGCATTTGATATAGCGTCTTATCATGTCTTCAAGACGTCTCAAAGTACTACTGTACAGTGAACTGACTTTATTTGTGGGGACAAGCAAAGTAACATAACATGCAGGAGCAGGAGTAGGCCATTCGGCCCTTCGAGCCTGCCCTGCCATTCAATCATGGCCGATCTTCTAATCTAACTCCAGCTAATAACCTGACCCTGCCTTATCCCCATATCCCTTAATTCCCTTTACAATAAGAAATATATCTATCTCAGTCTTGAATATGTTCAAGGACTGAGCGTCAACAGCCCTTTGGGGTAGTGAGTTTGATACAATCACCACCCTTTGAGTGAAGAAGTTCTTCCTCAACTCAATGCGAAAGGGCTGCCTCTGATTTTAAGGTTGTGAGCCCTGGTTTTAGTTCTCCAACCAGGGGAAACAATCTCCCACTATCTACTCTATTATGCCCTTTGATGATCTTATAGGTTTCTATAAGATCCCCTCTAATTCTTCTATATTCTAGAGAATATAGGCCCAAATTGGTCAGCCTATCCTCGTAACTCAACCTCTTCATCCCTGGTACTAACCTGGTAAATCTATGCTGCACCCCTTCCAAGGCAAGTACATCCTTCCTTAAATAAAGAGACCAAAACTGCACACAGTATTCCAGGTGTGGTCTCACCAGGGCCCTATACAGTTGCAGCAAGACTTCCCTACTCTTATATTCTAATCCTTTCATAATGAATGCTAACATACCGTTCGCCTTCCTAATTGCTTGGTGCACCTGCAGACTAACTTTCTGTGATTGGTGTACAAGGACACCCAATTCCCCCCTGGACACTAACACATTCCAATCTCTCCCCTTCTAAAAAATAACCCGCTCTACTGTTTTTGCTACCCAGGTGGATGACTTCGTACTTCCCTATGTGAATGTAGCAGCTCAGACTAAAAAAAAATTGTTTTCATGATTAATCGAAAGGTGTCCTAAGATGGTCATCATTGCAGCTACAGTTGACACCAAAATCTGTGCTGTTTCCAGTTTTTATCAGCATTCAGGTGACCCTTACCTTGAAGTGTACTCGCAAGTTGGATCCCCTGGCTTTGCATGCTGCAAAAAGCACAAACAAGGACAGGTCAGTTACATAATTCTTTAATCGCTGCAATGTCTCAGAAGCACAATGCGAAGCAGAATCACTTACATTTTGTGGGGTTCTCTGGGTCTAGTGAGTAGCGGACCATTTTCGGAGGGGAACTAGGAAGCAGAGTAAAAACGCAAGTTAGTATCAACCAACAGCTTCTTGACAGTGGACAATAGCAACAACTTGCATATATATAGTGCCCTTCACTCTTGACAATGGTGGAGTCTGACCCCGAGCTAGGGGGAAGACCGTAAACATGATCAAAAAGTAAGGTCCTTAGTCAGTGTGCAGACTAAAAGTGCAGAGGGAGAGGGCAAGGCCGAGGGATTGAGGTGGAGTTCCAATTTTGAATAGCATGTTTGAAGGCACAGCTGCCGATGGTGGAGCGGAGGGAATGAAAGACACACAGGAGGCCGGAGCCAGCCAAGCGGAGGCAGCAGGTGATGGGAGTGGGGGGTAAGCAGGTGGGATGGGTAGGTAGGTGCGAGGGCATGAAGGGATTTGAAAACGAGTGAGAGAATCTTGAAATTGATCCTTTCTGTATTTGGGAGTCAGTGGACCCTGGCATAAGTTGCTATTCAATTGACCAATGAGCCCTGATAATGCCACACATACATATAAACAATCTCTTCCAATAATTTAGTTGGTTCAACCACTACCACAGGTGCATATACAACACAGGGCAACCAAAGGCCTTCACTGTGAAGTCAGACTGTAGCAGCTCAGACTAAAAAAAATTCTTTTCACGATTAATCGAAAGGTGTCCTAAGAAGGTCATCATTGCAGCTACAGTTTATAGACATGAATTCTAAGTGAGTGTTTTTTTTTGTTATTTTTACAGTACAGGTAAAGTGGACCATCAGGATGTAGACCCACAGTACAGCAGCCCAGCAACTGGTGTAAATGCTTGCGACATCTCACCATTTGGCTTTTTTCTCAGTGACCCCATGATCTAGAAACACTAATTGGATCCAAACCATCATTCTTATGCCAATCCCAGAACAGAAAGATATACATTAATTTTCCTTCAATTGTCTGTGAAGTTTGATCCATGAGGTCAGACAGTGGCAGTTCAGACGAACTTAATTTATTTCCTTGGAAGGAACAATCTACAGTGCAATCAAGAAAGCGACGCATGGTTTGAGATATCCTCTCACCCCTCCCAAAGAAAAACACATCCACTTAATGCCTTTCTAAAATGACCTCAACTCTCAGCCTCAAAAACCATGTGCAGCAAGGGTTTCATCAGCATGAGATCTGACCGGATGGAAGAAATATATAATCTCCACTCCTCTCCCTCAACTCTTTCCAGTGACCACCCTGAGTTTACGCGTCGTTGTCACTCAAATACAAGAATTATTAACAACCATTGTGTCTTATACTCATTTACTAATTGTGGTTTATCTATCTCCCTATAACCACCAAGTTACAAGCCCAAACCTACATCAATTGGAAATAAAACTCAGCAACACCAAACTTTTTTTTTAGGGGGGTGGAGGGAAGACAGAGATACTCTAGCCTCTCTCACCCCTACAGACATTCTCTCTCTCTCCCAGTCAGTATGGGCAGAATTTAACAACAACAACAAGATTCCATTTATAGAGCGCCTTTCACGTTGGGAGGACGTCCCAAGGCGCTGTACAGTTGGGTCAGGACCTGAGCATTGGGGGGGAAATGGTGAGGGGAGGGAAGGAGCGAGGAGGGGTAGAGAGTCGAGAGGGGAGCTGAAGGCACGGTCAAAGAGAAAGGTCTTGAGACCGGCCTTGAAGGTGGAAAGGGAGGAAGCGGTGAAGGCACTGGGGATGGAGTTCCAGAGCCTCGGGGCTAAGAGGCTGAAGGCCACCGATGGTAGGGCGGTTGGGGCGGGGGACGTGGAGCAGACCAGAGCCAGAGGAACGGAGGGTACGGGCAGGTAGGTAGGGGGATAGTAGGTCAACACATTTTAAAACACATTTGTAAGCCAAAGTCCACCAAATACCAGCCCAATGCTGTGGGTTACCTGCTCGTGTGGGTTACAGCGCCTTGGGACGTCCTCCCGACGTGAAAGGCGCTCTATAAATGGAATCTTGTTGTTGTTGTTGTCACGGGTAGCAGAGTGGCCAGTTCGGGTCAGTAACTTTGCAAGGGCCATGGGGGCAAAGAGTCGGGGAGTGGGACTGAATGGGCTGCTCTTAAACGGCCTCCTCCTGCGCTTAGATCTCCATGAATCCATGGCAGTGACTGGGAGCGTCAGAGACGGCGCTTGTGAAAGGGTGTAAGGTCTCCAAAGAAAGGCGGGTGTGGGGGGAGGGAGAGAGGGGGGGAGGGAGAGGGTTTAAATTAAAACCTGAAAAATTAAGGCACTCGCCCGAGGCCGTTCCCTCACGCACAGAGCAACGCAAGATGCCGCCACAGCCACCCCCACGGTCGGCCCGGGCCCACACCGCTCTCTCAGGCGCCGGGTCCTAGGCCTCACAGCCTCGGGAGTAGATTTCCTTCCCTTCTGCCCCAACCAACGCCCTGACTCACGAAGTCAACATTAACCCCCACCCTCTCCCTCCCCTCACCTCCCGCCGCCCGCGACAGCGACAGTGAAAGCCAAAGCGCGAGCTTCACCTCCTCCTCCGCTGCCCTCGCGCTCGGGGCCGCCGCCGCCGCCATTTTGAACGGCGGCCCCCACACCCGCCACAGCTCAACCGTTTTTCATCTTCCGCCTAAACTCGCCGGTCGGGACTCCCACTACCGGCCCGGGGCTGTCGCCCACCGAGTCCCGGATAAGCTACCGACCCCGCCGGTGCGCCCCCCTCCCCTCCCCACCCCCGATGGTGACGGATTGCTCCGCCGCCGCCGCTCTCGCGCTCTCACCTCCAGGCCGTCAGCCGCGAAAGGAGGAGCGGAGGCTCACGGGAAGCAGGTCACCCGCGTAGCCAGTCTCGCGAGATCTCAGCGGGCACCGTCCCTCAACGAGACTTCAGCCCAAGGGAGGGTCTGCAATGGTGAGGAGAAGAAGAAGAAGAAGAAGGAGGAGGACCATCCATCCCTTGCATTTTGACACAACGCCTTGTCATCGTCTTGGACGTCTCAAAGCGCTTCGCAGAAGTACACTGCAAAGTGTAGTGCTCGCGTGTCTCGTGGACGAAACGCGGCAGTGTTTTTTCGGGTCTTCCGGACGTCTCGAAGCGCTTGTGAAGTGAATGGATAGTAATAATAATAATAATAATAATAATCCTTGCATTTGATATAGCGCTTTTCGCGTCGGGAGGACGTCCCAAAGCGCTTCACAGGACACACACTGTAAAGTGAATTGACTGTATATTTGTGGGTGACACGGGGCAGCCAATTACGCACAATAGAGTCCCACAAACACTCGTGGGTTGAAGTGGACAAGTTATTTTTTTTAAGGGTCTATTAGGAAACTTGCACGATGTGCCCAAACTCGCCCAAATTCCCAAGAAACTGCCTGGGAATCGAACCCCAGGTCCTCTCACTTGTGAGGGGAGTGCTCTGAACACAAAGCAGGGTTTATCATATCACCCGAACAACCCCAGCACTGCATTGAAATGTCAACCTGGATAACAACAACAAAATTACATTTGTATGGCGCCTTTTACATCAGGAGGATGTCCTAAGGCACTTGTCTTAGAAGGTTTTGGGTTCAAACCCTACCTTGAGACGAGGACCTAAGTCCCAAGGTAGGGTTTGAACCACAACCTTCTAAGACAAGTGTGTGACAAACTGAATCAGGCTACATCACTAAGTGATTGTTTTTATCGGCAAATGTTTGAGCTGCTAGACTGCATGAATGGCAGACACATTTTTCTCCACCCTTTAATATTTCTCCTCTTTAAGCATCTGACTTGTTCCCATTTGAATCAATCTATGCACTTTGCTTGAACAGCAGTCTGTGGGCAAATAATTCTACATTGCAGCAGTCGTGGATTGAGTGACCAAACTATTATTTTTTCAATTTTTTTAAGGGTTTATTTCCCCTGGAAAGCGAACCGCTAATTGACTAACAACCAGGTTCCTACTGACTCCTAGATAAACAGAGGCTTGTAGAGTGAGGAAACTTGCCTAATGTTTCGCCTAATAATAAAAATAAATAATAATCCTCGCATTTGATATAGTGCTTTTCATGTCTTCTAGACGTCTCAAAACACTTCACAGAATATACTGTGAAGTGAACTGATTATATATTTGTGGGTGAAACTGGGCAGCCAATTAAGCACAGTAGTGTCCCACAAACAGTCGTGGATTGTTTTATTATTCTTGAGGGATTATTATCATTTTTCCTTACGTGTGGAGTAAGGAAACTTGCTCAAGTTTTCAAACCCAGATCCTTTTGCTTGCAAGGCGAGTCCTCTAACCACTGAGCTACAGGACTCTAGGATCACCCCCCTCCAGAAAAGTGTCCTAGTGTCTGCAGCACAGAGCTGCTTATCTGCACTATTTGGTCCCAGCAAACCTATTAGGTGAAAATTAGCAGCCGAGCTCAGAAAATCACGCTCTCACTTCTGGGTTTGAACCCCCAAAGTCAGGACTTTGGAATTGGCCACCCACAAAATGTAGAGTCAATTCACTTTACAGTATCTTATGCGAAGCGCTTTGAGATGACTTAACGACGTGATAAAGTGCTATAACAAATGCAAGGATTATTATTATTCAACTGTTTGAGTTCTGATTCCAACTGTCTTTTCTTCCCCATATTCAAGCCATGACCCACTCTGCCTTCCCTCACCTCCATAACATCGCCCGACTCCGCCACCACCTCACCCCTCAGGCCACTGAAACACTTGTTCATGCCTTCATCACCTCCAGGCTCGACTATGCAAATACACTGCTTGTCGGCCTTCCCATCTCCTCCCTCCACAGGCTGCAGATAATCCAGAACTCTGCAGCCCGTGTCCTCCCGCACCAAACTCCATGACCCCATCTCCCCCATTCTCACCTGATTTCATTAGCTCCCTATCCTTCAGAAGATCCAGCTCAAGATCCTGGTCCTCACCTACAAAGCCCTCCATGGCCTCGCCCTACCCTACCTCTGTAACCTCCTAACCCCCTACCAATCCGCCCGCTCCCTCCGCTCAGCCGGCTCTGGCCTGCTTCACGTCCACCGACCCACCCGCCCCACCATTGGCGGGAGAGCCTTCAGCCACTCTGCCCCCAACCTCTGGAATTCCATCCTCCAATCACTCCGTCTTGCCCCTCAACAACAACAACAACAAGATTCCATTTATAAAGCGCCTTTCACGTCAGGAGGACGTCCCAAGGCGCTGCACAGTTGGGTCATGACCCGAGCAGGTGGGAAATGGTCAGGGTGAGGGGAGGGAAGGGAGGGAGCGAGGAGGGGGGAAATGGTCAGGGTGAGGGAAGGGAGGGAGCAAGGAGGGGAAAATGGTCAGGGTGAGGGGAGGGAAGGGAGGGAGCGAGGAGGGGGGAAATGGTCAGGGTGAGGGGAGGGGAGGGAAGGGAGGGAGCGAGGAGGGGGAAGAGAGTCGAGAGGGGAGCTGAAGGCACGGTCAAAGAGAAAGGTTTTGAGACCGGCCTTGAAGGAGGAAAGGGAGGAAGCAAGGCGAAGGCACTGGGGGATGGAGTTCCAGAGCTTGGGGGCTGAGAGGCTGAAGGCCCGACCACCGATGGTAGGGCGGTTGGGGCGGGGGACGTGGAGCAGACCAGAGCCAGAGGAACGGAGGGTACGGGCAGGTAGGTAGGGGGACCTCCTTAGCCTCCTTCAAGTCCCGCCTCAAAACCCTCCTCTTTGACCATGCCATCGGCCACCCCTCTTCCCCTCCTTTCCCTTTTCCCTCACTGACCCCAGCTTGGGTCTGAAATGCTGTACCCTGTCCACCGCCTTGGGATGTCCTACCGACTTGAAAGGCGCTATACAAATATAATAATAATAATAAAATCCTTGCATTTGATATAGCGCTTTTCACGTCGGGAGGACGTCCCAAAGCGCTTCACAGAACACACTGTAAATGAATTGACTGTATATTTGTGGGCGAACGCGGCAGCCAATTGCGCACAGCAATGTCCTACAAACAGTCGTAGATTGAAAATGACCAATTTATTATTGTTTTTGGTTTTGGAGGGATTATTATTAGGCTCTGTGTGGAGTAAGGAAACTTGCCCAAGGTTTCGCCCTCTGCCTGGAATTGAACTCAGGTCTCTCGCTTGCAAAGCAAGTGCTCTAACCACTGGGTTACAGGACTCCACGGTAATCTTGTTGTTTTTGTTGTAAGGTTAAGATAAGAGTTTTGAGAACATTTAATATGCAACTTACAATTGTGGGAGGCCACAACCTTTTGACCCAAAGTTACCGACTGTGTTGAAGATCTTGTTACCTGGGCTATGATCCTTCTTTGAACTTATTATTTGTTCCACCAACTCTAGGTGGCGGACAGGAGGACTCAGGGTTGGAAGAGATGCTGCAGTTACTGGGACCAGCCAACAGATGTCTTCTGGGCTGACTTGAAATTCCTAAACGTTTGTCTCAGACATATCTTTTTCAAAGATCTTATGTGGTTTTGGTCACGGTGACATAAGAGGCAACCAACACCCTGGAGACAGAATAAAGCCTGATAAGCTACATCCTTTCAGCCTTATCAAGGGGACCTTATAGAAGAAAATGCAAAGTATTGCAGATGCTGGAAATCTGAAACAATAACAGAAGTCGCTGGGAACACTCAGCAGGTCAGGCAGCATCTATGGAGAAAGGAAAGTGAGTCGACGTTTCGGGTCCATGACCCTTCGTCAGAACTCGGGCATGTTGGGAGGGAGAGGTTTTTAAGGGCTGACAGAGAAGGGGGAGGCAGGGCAAGGAAGACAAAGGTTAAAATGGAGTAGAGGACAGGGGATGTTGGGTTAAAGCAGTGTTAATGATGCAAAACAAAGGGGTGGGGGGAATTGCAACCAAGCAGGTGGAAGTTAAAGATTTTATGATTCTATTCAAAAAGAGAAGGGAGTTTCTTTCTCCTGGTGTCCTGGCCACAAAATATACAATCAATTCACTTTGCAGTGTGTTCTGTGAAGCGCTTTGGGACGTCCTCCCGACGTGAAAAGCGCTATATCAAATGCAAGGATTATTATTATTATTTTGTGTGAAGTGCTTTTCATAGAATCGTACAGCACAAAAAGAGGCCATTCGGCCCATCGAGTCTGTGCCGGCTATTTGAAAAGAGCAATGTAATGTCAATCCCACTCCCCAGCCCTTTCCCCATAACCCTGCAAATCCATCCTCCTCAAATACCTGTCCACTGCGTTTTTAAAAGTAGTTATCGAATCGGCCTCGACCGCCCTTTCAGGCAATGGGTTCCAGATTCGAGCAACTCGAGACATAAGGTGCTGTATCAAACGCAAGCATTATTATTTATTTATGACAGCTAGAACAAGGGATTCACGTACGAAACAGTTTGTTGCTGTGATGGGAAGATAGTGGATTGTAGGTATTGTGGATTGATGAGATCAAATGGACCGGAGGGACTACTTTATCTGAACCTCTTGTGATTCCGAATTGCTTCTCGAAAATGCTGTCTGTCAGTCAGTATCATTTAGTATCTTACTTAAGGGTCTGTTCTTCATATGTAATAATCCTAATAATCCTCGCATTTGGTAATTGCACCTTATCACGTCTTCGAAACATCTCAAAGGGCTTCACAGAATCTACTGTGAAATCTCACGGCTTTCACCTCCTCCGACCACGCCATCCTCCTCCACCGCCTTTCCTCCGTCATCCACCTCAGTGGGAATGCACTCGCCTGGATCGAGTCCTACCTCACAAACCGCCAGCAGTACATCTGCACAAACGGCTTCTCCTCCCGCTCTCACCTGGTCACCTGCGGGGTACCCCAAGGATCCATCCTTGGCCCCCTCCTCTTTCTGATCTAC